ATTAAAAAAGTAAGTTTTATATTGTAGATTTCCTAATTTGTAATAAATTATAAGTCTGTAGGAGCTTAGGACAATATAAAAAAATCTTTAATATTTGTATGAAATCTATAATAAAACTAAGTATAAATATTAAATATACTTAAATATTTAACTAAACAATTTTGCTTTTTAAATGTGAAAGTGTTTAGTAATAAAATAATTATTAAATTGTTTCTTTCTTTTGGATTTATTTTTATTTTGTATACACTAAGATGTATTGTAACACCAACATTTGTTTATTGATAATTCTAGTATCTTAAACGCAGAAATAGCATATCTTTTTCTAAAATCTCTTTTATGATATTTTCTTAATTTTGTATATTTATAGAACACACACACACGCACGCAATTACGCACACTTTTCTATTTTTAAAATATATAAACTTAATTTTAATAACAAAATTTTTTACCAATAACTATAATAATGTAATATTTGCTATATCACGACCATTTTATTTAATATTAAAGTATCCATTCACTGTAATTTTATTTCTATTAATTGGTGAGGAATATAATGCGGACAAAAACTTCTCCGATATATTGGCTGTCGAACTACAAATTAATATGAGGTAATAAAACGATTAATCGAGTAACGAAAACTTCTTTAATGAGCAAGAAAAATAAACTATTAGTTGCTGATCCTTGAGCTTTAAAACAATAATAAAACTTTTACGATATAAATCATCCTTACGCTTATTAAATGTAATAACGCTTGCTTATGCCTGCAATTAATCATTTCATTTAATATTGGAAGTTCGCTGTTAGAGTAGTTTGCAATTGTTCATTGTTGATAGGAGGTTGTGAATGTAGTATTGATAATTTGTTGGCATACTTTCCATTCAGTCAGCTAATCCTTTGTTATTGAATTAAATGTCAGCAACTTGAAATTCTTTGTCTTACGTGTCGATTAAACAGAGCAGATCAGGCGGACATCAAAACACGTCCATGATAAGAAGATCAAAATGTTTGAAATATGTATCTCTAATCTACCTATGGTGTACATTGCAATTGGTTATTTAGAAAGAGCAGCCTCGTTGCTGCGTCAATGTATTGGCAAAAATGCCGATAATACATTACATCTCTCATTTATTTTCATTTAACCTGATAATTTTTCAACTTTCGAATTCAACTGGAATTGTCAACTTTAATAAATAAAATGAAATAAGTACTTTTATTACAAAACTGGAAGCTATCATTTTAGAAATCACAGAATATTATTAATATTTTTTAATGATAATCGTTGATGATTAAACGATAGTTGATTTAGTAAATCAGATCGTCAATATAATAATACAAATATTCATTTATTATTGAGAACCATTAACGTAGTTGAGAAAATATTTTAATGAAATCATTGTTTATCACCACTGTTAACATTTTATTTTTACGAGGTACCAAGATGTACTGTATATTTTGCTAACAACATTGATTAAATATTCTTATTAAAATACTGGACCCTTTTATATATGTATTCTATATATATCTAAGCGTAATATTTTTTACTTCCAAATTTGATCTTCATAATTTGATGAGCTTCTTGCTGTAAAAAAATCATCATTTACAGAATAAACCTTCATTGACTATTTATTTGCATAGTAGTAATTTGCAAGTATTGTCAAAAATAAAAATTCTGTTTAATATACATTAATATCAATATTTTATATCCTATTTATTTTTTGACGTATCAAAAATTTCGTCTATCACATTAATACAATTACAATAATGATTAGCATTATATTACATACTTTTAACAAGATATTTTTTATCATGTCTAAAATTACGAAACATAATTTGAAGATAAGAACGATCTGCAATGCTTTTGATTATTAAATATGTAATTCAATTTAACCGATATTAATTTTTTCAGTGCTTTATAAAACATAAAGATAATTTTGTATCTTTATATTATGTTTTCTTTTATTTTTTAATTTTTTTTAACAGATTTAAATATTGAATAATATTCAGTAAATTATAACTGATTTTATAGTATCGGGATCCTTGGTCTCGTTTTATAGAATTGTTACATTTCTCAATGAGAAGTTGTACAATGTTATTTTTGTCTAATGTAGTTTTATAATTTGTTTCGAAATATATTATTGAAATGAAGCAATAGGAATTGTTCTCATTTATTTGTCCTACTTTTAACCATAAAAACTCCATTTCATTCAATTATTCTTCTAATATGCCACAAGAGAGTAGAATATAAAAGTGCTTTTTTGTTTGTTAATAACAAACAAAATCACAAAACAATAAGTCAGAAACATTTGTTTATAGCACATAAATGATAATTTCTACAGAATTCAAGATGATTTTGACTTTTCCAGTGTAATAAGTACTTAAGTAAGCGATTAAATATAATCTGATAATGATAATCTTATAGATAGATATAATCTTCAGTGAATGTTTAAAAAGTAATTTCCTTCATATGGAATTACTTTAAAATGTCACTTTTCTTACCATTAAATATATAAAAACATATATCTAAAGCCTTGAGAAGAAATATTTATATACAAATAAAGTAACAAAAAAATGTTTTCGTGGGTATAAAGAATAATTTATTGAATCAATATTTTATAAATAAATAATTATTTATTTAAAATTAAAATTAATTTCAAATGGCAATTATTTCGCAGAATATTTACGAAAATAATTTTTATATAAGCGAGTACATTAAAATTATCTAATAGGACATAGATTCGCTAATTAAAATAAAATTGGAAATTTTGACTCTAAGAGAATACTTAATTTAAAATACTTTAAAAGCTAATCTACACAAAGTAATAAGGCAGCATTTAAAATTTTTTTTGACGTTTAAAAAAAAAACATAACGTAGATAGGAACGCAGTTTTTTCCTTTTTTATCTTTATAACTGCAGTACGGTATAAATGTTTAAACTTCGCATTTTATGGCACTTAAGAAACTATAACTTTTTTTTTAACCACGTTGTCGGTAACAAATTTATGTAATAGAAGGGAAAAACAGTAACACTTATTATTGCACTTTCGTACGAGAAAAAAGACGTGTGTATAGTGTTAACATTTTTCATCCGTCCAGTTATAGTCTGCTTAATTAACAGGCAAAGATTTAGCATAGAAAAAAAACTTGAAAAGTTTCAATAATAGATAAAAGCTCGGTAAAATAAAGTTGAAAAGATAAATCTACGAAAACTTTAAGAACCAATAGACAAGTAAAGAGCGTTAAGATTTCTTTTTAAATGTATAAAAATTCGACGAGTTGAGCAAAAGTTGTTGAACAAAAAATATGTATACAACAGCATAAAAGTGAGTATAATTATCTAGGCACTGACTAGATAATATTACAAAGGAAAACGAATAAAGAAAAAATATAGAGTACTTTAAAAACTGAGAGTGATGCCTGTTGTAAAGCATTTAGAACGCTTACAGCGTCGGAGAAAAAACTGCACCGAAATAATGCGTAAACAGGAACAAAAATATAAGGGAGACACGTGAGCTTAAAAACTGAGTATATCTTATTAAGTACAATATCTGTTTAATCTGTATGGTTTGTCAAAAATATAAAAATTCAATTACTTTACAATATTTCTTCATTTCCGTCTTTTACAAATCAGCTTCGGTACAATAATTGTTCACCATCGAGTCTTCTTTGTATTCGCGGCTTTGACTCTGAATAAATTAGAGTTACAGAGACAAAATTACGTATAAGAGCTTAAGATAAACAAGAAAATTACGGTTTAAAAACGAATAACGTCTGATTACGCTCAAGCGTAATAGTTGGCTTGTAAAAGCAACGACGATGTATTATTATTTTTATTTTAACAAGATACAAGTATAGAATTTCATTAAATCCTACAAAGTATCATCGATTTATTAATTTTATTAAGCAACGCTTAATGACGTTTCACGAAATAAGAAAGCGACCGAGTGTGCGATTGCAGGAAACAAGATTGCACCGAAGCCCTTGCGTTCTCACGACTTTGTCGAGTGACATTCATTCGCTTGTTTTCTTTTGTTTTTTTTTCATTTTTCGTTTTTTCATGTTCGTTTTCCATGCTACTTCGTACATGAAATATCGCAATTTTTGAATTGTAATAATTCTTAATAATGCACCGGAGACTTTTCGTAGTATTGTGATCTTTCTCTTTCTTCTGAAGTATCTTCTGAAGTATCTTCTGAAGTATCTTCTACCAGATTCAAGAGGCACTCGAGTCCAATTGAGTTTCACCAGCTACAAACTTACATCAAAAGATAAATAAAGAATTAATGAAAAATGGCTGTTTGCACTGTTCTCTACCTCCTTTCCTTTCTCCCTCTCCTTTTTATTTAATACGATACTGGCTATTGCGACATGGTGGACAAAAAACTAATCGAGCATAAGAAAAATCTTTCGTTGAGTGTACCTTTCTCCCCGCTTCGTTAACCAATCATTTGAAGACAAACATAAATATCGCCGGGGGTGTTGATGAATTTTTATCGGCAGTTGACCAATTCGTGTTACCGAACGATAGAAAAACAAACCTCATTGTATGCTTGATATTTCAATTAATACCCTTCGATTATCGCAGATCAAAGCACGATTAAATAACAGAGAACGAGATTACAAGGAAATTGAATGGTGGAAAGGGGTGCAAGCTCGGATAAAACTTATTCATTAGTTAAAGTAGTTTACATTCTCTTTATTTTTAAGTACTTCGATGGAAGAGGATTGGATGAAAATTTGGGGGAGGGGGGATTGCAGCGGAAATTGCAGCACGAATGTCATTGGCTAGATCCCGAGCGATACCAAACAACGTAAATGCGCTTACTATTATTTTAACTCGGCAAAACAATAATCGGCAGCAGATGTGAGGCGCCCAGTCCGTACCGAAGAGACGTTGGAAAGTTAATTTATTCTAGGGTAATCTAATCTGAGATTCCGAAGCGTTTGCCGCGGATCGGTATCGCGGATCTGGGACTCGATTAATAGGCTTCGTTGCACTGTTCAGTGTCAACATGCGGAAGCAATAATTGGGAGTTCGGGGAGTCGTATCGACGTGGGACATTTTCTCAGAAATCACCCGATAGGACCATAATACCGTCCCGACTCGACCACTCGGCATAATACTACGGAGAAGGTTAAACGAAATAATAATATCGTCCCGAGGATTAAGGCTTGCACTTGGTCTTGCCGTCGAGGAGCTTCTTCCAAAGGTCGAACTGCTCGCTGTACTTGACCATGTGTATACTGATGCCCCGTTGGACGTTACACGGGCTGTGCGGGATCTTCCTGTTGAGGAACTCGTTGGCGTGGGCGCGCCTGATGCCCAGCTTGTTGGCCACGATCCCCGTGACGAAGACGTCCTCGAGCTTGAGGAAGGTCTCGTTGAGGGCGCCCTCGTAGAGATTGCGCACGACGTCGCTGGACATAAGGTAGGCCGGTCCCGTGCAGAAGTCCGGATAGAAGGGCTTCTTGTATTGAGCCAGCGAGACAAAATACTTGCTAGACTTGCTTCTCACGGGCTTCCACTTTTTCGCGAGTTTGCCAAATATCACGCTCTTGTCGTGCCTGTGCTTGTTGATGAACGAGGCGAGCCGCGGCACGTTGATGAACATATCGTCGTCCGTCTTTAGCACGAACTTCACCTCCGAGCAGTAGCTGTCGACCCACTCAAGGGTTGAGATCGTCTTGAGGGTGAGATTTGCATAGGAGTCGATGAAACGGCCGCGTATTATGTCGCCGTACATGTCCTGCTCGCGCTCGAGGCTCCTCTCGAACTTGGGATCGCTCGTATCGCCTAGCATGAAGAGGATGCTAATATCCCTCCTCTGGCCAAAGTGGCCCCAGGTTTGACGTATGGCAGTGCGTGCCTCGATGTGTGTCGGGGCCGACATGATGATTATGACGAGGTCCATGAATTTGCCAAAGTCCGGGCACTTCTCGGCTACGGTGACCGTGTGGCCAACAACGTAGATCGCTCGGGCCGAGTCCTTGTCGACGACGCTTGCGGTTGATGGTGCCACGGTCGTCGTGGTTGTCGTAGTTGTGGTCGTGGTCGTACTCGTGCTGGTCGACGTGCTGGCGCCGGTGCTCGTCGACGAGGACGAGGATGCGGATGAAACTAAGTTCGAGGGCGCCGAGTTGACGACGGTGATGATGCTGGATGCGTTACCGCCTGGATTGACGAGCGTTGGGCTCGGAGCGCTGTCAGTGCCATTCAGGTTACGTGACAGCGGCATGGTAGGCACGTCCGAGCTGCTCGCGTTCGCGTGGCCGTGGACCGGTTCGTAGAAGACGGAGGAACGATCTGTGAACATTCGGAAAGGTTTCTTTGCATTTTTATTGCACGGCTTCGGGTCGCGCACGCATTCCGACACACCTGCTCGCTCCTCTTCTCCTTCCACCTATACATCGGGTGGAAAATTATGATTATGATTGTAATTATAATTATGTCGGATTGCATGCGCGAGCGGGAAAACTCGTTTGAAAATTGTTTATTTGCTTGGATGGAAAGTATCATGACCCTTGGGCTTGATAATGTCTGGCTCTGCTTTCCAAATGCCGTGATTGATAGTTCGAGTAGAGAGGCGAGGAAGATGATGTGAAAATTTAAATTACATAATTGTTTTTCGTGCGCATCATAATTATTATGTGATCTGGATATTTATATGATTGCAAAAAAGGAATGTGCAATTAATTTAAATAGTGCTTATAAAAATTACAGCCAAAGGAAACATTTACATTAATTGCTTAAAAATATAAGCTTCTACTTTCTATATATATATATATATATATATATATATATATATATATATATAATATAGTATATCTAATGATACATGATTTAATGAAGAATTCAACAATTTATAACTGCCACACACACGGTATGCACGCACAGAGAGAAGAGGATTAATCATGAATTATACAATATTTTATGTATCATTTCAACCACTACATTTTATTATAGTGCATTTAATCAATTATTAATTACCAAAAATATACCATAAAATATTGTTCAATTTCATTAATGCATTGCATGAAAGGTTGTTCTTTCATTTTATAACCGTCATCGTAACTCGAATTTTTAAATGCTTAATTTTAATCTTTTCCTTTTATGTTCAAATCGACGTTATTACGACATTTCTTTAATTGAAAACTGTAATATTACATTTAATATTAATTAAACTTACTATTCTCAATATATCATCAAAGTCAAATCAAGCTAACAATTTTTATATCAAAATTATTGATTATTATTATACATTTAATTCAAAATTTAATAATTTCAAGTTAATTATTCGCCATAAAAAGTTTCATTTCAAAATGAATAATTGTACCATTTGCCGTACCAATCTGAGTATTAATTTGATGTAATTTCTGTAAAAATTTCAAAAGATTTGCGTAAGTGGCGAAATTGCCACATCGTAATATTTAATTTACAGATTAATCCGAGATCAAATAATGGGGGGGGGGGGGTATGGTCGGAAATGTATGGTCAGAAACGCGTCGTCCAATCTTGCCCAATTTTCGAAAAATATAAACTCCTATATTTTATGCATACTGACACGGTGACTTTCACTGGAGCATCTATTGCGCAAATCTTTCTCTATCGTTTTGACTATGAAGTTACTTTTTATTTATCGCCATACGATATTATATGTTCGTTTGATTCCGGCACTTGGAATTGGAAATTTTTCGGATAATGGGCACTCTGACACACGCGGGAAGCTTTCGATTCGAGAAATCTAAAGTCTAATATTGCACGCATGGGTGCACGAACGCGGTGCTCATTTGCAAGTGACCGAGAAATTCAAAGGCAGACGCGCTTTCCTGCATTCGATTTTTCTCTCTTCCCGTTTTCCTTTTTTCCGGATTGTTTATTGCAGATTGTAGCTCTGATAATTTCTTCGATTTTCTATTTAACGAATTTACAGTAGGCGAATATATATATATATATATATATATATATATATATATATAGAAAATACATATCTCTCAATGTGCATTGACTATTCTTTATTATAATACAATTAATAAATTTGCGGCTGTTACATTATTAACGTGAATAAATGCTAATTTTACATTTGTATGCATAACAAACAGCTTACGTTTAATTTAATTTCGAGTCAAGACTGCAACAGCGCCTTTCGGTTAAAAAGCTACTTTCTTTGCAATTGTGTTTTAGTTATATTTATATTGATACATTTTTGATAATAACAAGGTAAAATTTAATATTATTGATGAGTCAATAACAAAGACGAAAATTTTAATATTTAAGAGATGGGATTATATGAAAATTTATTTCATTAAAATTACGATCAGATAATTAATTCCTTTGAATGGAATTATATTTATTTACCATAAATAACGAAAAAACTTGTTGCGAAATGAAAATTTAAAATGAATTCTCTAGTATTTTTAAAATCTTAAAATGTTATCTTTCACCAAAAAAATAATAACAGTTTAAAACAAACAAAAAAATCATGAAATCATTAAAAATTGTACAATAGATTTTGGGCAATGAAGAAGAAAAATTAATTTTCTAATATTTTATACGAAAATATATTGTTACACGTCAGCGTTCACAATACTGTGGGTATATTCTAATAAAAACGGATGAAAAATTTTCCGTTTAATTCTCCCTCCCGTCTTTTGAATTAGTCACTCTTTGAAATCAATTTTCGCTTCATGAATGTATACACTTAATTTAATACGCCGAGATACGTTTGTTTTACAGTTTAATTTTTTTCGTATGCAATTTTCATTTAAGGATTTCATAGCCTCAATGAGAAGAAATACAGTGTGGAATTTCTATCTTAGCAGGAATATGAGCGTACAAGAAGTTAAATATATTACTTCTACTAACAGGAAAGACCTGTTTTTTGTAAAAAGAATTTCCTATATTTCACTTTAAATATTTGATGACAAATTGTAATATTTGTAAAATTTTTAAACTTCTATGATATTGTAAAATAAAAATAGGGTAACATTCCACAGGATATTAAATATACGGTTGAAATTGTTGAAAATGTTAGAGTAGTAAAATGCGTACATTCTTAAAAGTAATAATATAATTTCATTAACTATATTACGCAAACGATTATTTCAAATTAAAAAGCGTATTTATAGAGTTGCTTTCTTATATAAAAATATGTTATTATGTGCAGCCGAGTTGATGTTAGATAATTTTAGAACGATAACCCTATTTGAGAAAATTATTTTTTTTTTATTTCCAAAACATGCAATTCATAATTTATGAAATAATTTCAACAAAATTACCCCACAATATAATATAATCTAGTATAAGTAAAAAACATAGAGTATTACGAGTATGATTGAATTAAATTTTTTACTCGCTTGATATGCGAGTCTGTTTTGGAATCTTGAGATTCGATTGGTTAACTTAGCTTTTCGAAACAACTAATGAACCAGCAAGTATAAACTTCATTTTGATAAATTCGTTAACCGGCAAGAAGGTTTCAAATAATATTAACATACCAAATTAAATTCATAGTTGAGACGTACATTTACTAACGGGCTAACTGAATTTCCCTCTGTGGCATTCATTAGGCGTTCCGTCGCCTATATCAATATATTTCCATAAAAGCATGTACACCTATATATGGGCGTATATACGTAAGTATAAGTACATGCATATGTGTCTATTGTATTGGAAAGTAAATTGTATAAGTTTTGATGTTCTTAAGCGAAAGAGGAATAAATCGACGAGTGATCGGTCGGCGAACTTGCCCTCTAAAATTGACGTGCCCTTACAATGGTTATAATCAAGATTAATGGATGACATTGAAAACTCTTGGTTAACGGCAATCTTATTCGTCTTATCTAGCTTTTGCCGAAATATAGATGCTAGTTCTAAAGGTCTGTGTTTTAGAATTAGGAAGACGAGTGGAAAGCTTGCGAACGACGCACGTAGTGAATTTTACGTGTAAATACCTCTTTCCGCAGGCTGTTTCTAAAATTAGCTTTGTAAAATCAGTTACTTAAACACAGGCTAAATAGAAGTAGTTTACATACTTTAATTTTCTTATTATTCTAATTTAATAATTCCGACGAGTAATTAATTAATTTCTTCGCTAAACTCCTTGTCGATGAATATTGATAGTTGTTACGTTGTCATTGCAAATACCAAATCTAAAACTGTAATTTAAGGAGAATGTATTTTAAAAATCTAATATTGTCATGATTATAAGTCAATAAAAAATAATATCAATGCGTTTATTTTGATAGTAAGTAATACAGTAAATGCTAAGAGTATAGTTAAATGTAGCATAATAGAACATGTACGTCTTTTGTTAAGCTGTAGTAAATCGATTTTAATTTTTGAATATTACCTTCAGTAAACAACGCAATAGAATTATAATCATAAAATTAACCTTTTTTATTTATTTAAAGCGATAATAAATTTTATTAATAGAAATCGAGCTCGCAGTTGAAATGAATACAAATTTTTATGTTAATTACTGTTTCAATTATCCATGAATTCTAGAGCCAATGTCATTATTACTTACTTGTACGAGTAAAAATAGTATAATTAATTTTTTTAATCGATGCTGTGCTATAAGTATTATTCAATTTTGAATATTATACAATATGTTTAACGCATTTTCAACTAATGTTAATTTTCAAAATCTAAGATTGTTTCCATTAATTTATACTTATATTAAATAAAAAATTTTTTCTTTTAATCACAATGTGATGATAATAACGTGCGTCAACAAACTCAGATTTCCAAAGTAAATTAAGAAAATATTCTCATACTACTTCATGCTAATAAAATAAATGTTACAAATATTATAGTATTGTAGTAAAAGTTACTTAATGTGCTTGTCAATTTAATTACTATGGATGCATATTCGTGCATGTATGCGCGCGTGCGAGCATAATATTTCTATTGCACATATTAATTATGTGGAAATAAAAAATTTTCATACAAGAATATGCAATAAATCTAACGAAAATTGGACTATTTTTATCAATATTTTATATAACTTTTAAAATATATAATTATATTTTTATAATCACGAGACAATTTATTTTTATATATTTTCATTTTTCATATTAAAATAGTGGATTGATTTTATGATTGAGATATGCACAACACAGCTAAAACATGAAAAAATTAAGTAATCACGCGAATGAAAGTTTTAAATACCGTTTCTCTTTGGTTATAACAAATTTATATATATATATATATATAATATGAATGTATGAATATTCTGTAATCTTCAAATAAATTATATAATTTTATTAAATCTCTATTGTTTAAATTATATTATGGCAAAATCATTTCGAAAATGGCTAATCTATTGTATGTTTCAGGGGTTCTTTGGAAATTAAACAATGAATTTATGAAATATTTCATTATTATCATTATCAATTATATTACACAATGCACATAATATCATGACATTACAATGGAGTCTTTTTTTAAAATATGTTTAACCTACAGAATGAATATATATATAATTGTAAGAATAAATTTTATCCTTATTTTTTAAAAGAATTTAGAGATAATTTAAAAGCAACAAATATTTGTATCAAATTTTAACAGTCTGAAATTTGATTCATGCTGTAATCATCATACATTACATGACATGAAATGAGCACATAAAAAACAAATAAAAACTCCTCTAATGGTAACTAACGAATGTGTAGGTAAAATTGAATCTTATAAAGTATGGACTTTAAATATTTTTTAAATTTAAAATCAATTATATATTATATATATATAGAAAATTAGTTAATTATAATTTAACAAAGTTAATATAAATAGAATGAATAAAAGATGAATGTATTTTATGTATGTAGACAATATATAAGTAAATGACTCAAATTATAATTATGAAATAAACTGTCAGCTATCAGCGACAAATAAGTTAAAAGCTGCCTTTATCATAGTATACTTATGTGGTAATTATTAATTGTGCTACTTTTATTATTACACTCTATTTAATATATGCCCCTGAAATAAGAATAGTTTATAACTCTCATTAATATACGTTGGAAAATTAACCAAGATAAGAAATATAATACAGATTTTGAAGCAGATAAATGAGAAAATATCCTACCAATTCTTATATTAAATAGCAGTATACGATTAATAAATATTGTGCTAAAGAATAAATTTGCTTGAAATAAAAATTTTTCTTTTCATATGCGTAGAAATAAAATGAACATACATATTTATGTATGTCTGGTAAATTTGAGACTACATCTAAGAGTCTTCATACTTTCCCTTTCCAAATCCTACACTGGTTGATTTTTCATCATTGCTTAATTCATAGGGCTTTTTAGAATAAGTATTGAGAATTATTGAAAAATATTGAATCTGAGTAGATTCATGGCAATTGTTACGATTACTAAGTTCAACGGCATACTGCCAGTTAACGATTACATGTACTGATAAAGTGACAATGGTATACATGCATGCATATATCACTGATGATTGTATGTTTGTTGTGAGTTTGCAGGTGTGTGCGTTTCTTTATTTAAATTTCACATCACACTCCAGAGATTTCAACTCATGTCATTTCTCTACTACAAAGTATATTTAGATCCAAAGTTATTATTTTTTATAAGAATAAAAGCTAACGATACATGTCTGATAAAAGTAGTGTCAATTCAAATTAGTGTGTCCGTCGAAGACGTATCGAAATTAAAGCTAAGAATATTAAATTTACAATGCATGAATTTTCTTATATATGTACCGTGATATTGTGCATGGAATGTTAACTTTAATATTAGGCCTCCGTAAGAATTTAGACTTAATAATTTTGTTTATAGACCTACAGTTTGTCAAGTGAAATGATTGTATTGCACAAAAGACATTTGGAGGCAGGAATCTCCAATTTATAAATTATCTCTGGTAATTCTTTGAAATTCAGTAAAAGTATCAAATGTGTTATTATATCATATATAAAGAAACTCCAAGACATAATTAATGAATAAAAAGTCTTTTGCATATGTTTTAAAGCGAAGATTGAGAGTTACGAATGTGATCTCAAGTCTACAAAATGGTAGGTCTTTTGTAACAAAAAATTTTGAGGCATTGCTTGCGCACAAAGCTTATGTAGTCATTAGCCAAAGTCATCCTAATTTTTTGATCACCGAACACAGACGTGGCCTTGATCCAGTAATTGTAACATAATAAATCAGTCAGGTGATTGTGAAGGACGGAGCAAGAGCCAATAGCTTGTAATGGTAAGGTAAATCGGAAAAATGAAACGCTGCTCACTGTAGCTCCGCACAAAGGCATACTGCCGTATCTCGCTGGCCGTCGTCCTGTAGTACGTGTAGAAGGTAAGGCCGACGAGAGCCAGTATGAGGCTCTGCAATAAGCGGCTGCGGAGGCTTAGAAGGCTCATGGCTGCGACCTCGGCCACGGCATTTACGCCCTCCGCAGGATCACACTGGGAGCTCGAGATACGTCATCGGAGCTGCCGGGCGCGCGTCTCAGGAAGCCGGCCCATCCCCCGGCGGGGGGGGGGCCGTTGGGGGCAGGCTAGCCCTCGTCGTCAGAAGATTATCACAGCACGTCCTAACGCGGCACCGCGGCGCCGCCACAGCTCGCCCTTTGAGGTTATGTCGCTCATGAGGGCCTGGGATAGCTCGTCGACAGCCGCGCGCACCACTTCCTTCTCTTCCGGCGAAACGAGGCGAGTGAGTGACGATACGTCACGTTGGCCGCGCGTGCACCGAGCGACTGAGTCTCGAAGATCGAACGAGTACGAGCGACTAGCGAGCGAGTGTCGTTGGCCCGCGCCGAGTTGCCGTGGTCGTTTGGCCGCCGCAGCGGCCGCGCGCGCGCATGACACACGTACATACACTCACACACGCGCGCGCAGAGCTATTCCAGGCGTACGCATGTACACTGGCGCGGAGGTAGAGGCAGAGGTGAGGTACGCGACGACGAGCGACCGACCAACTGCTCGTGGAGGAGCGATGCCAAGAAACGAGAAACCAGGTGACAGGTGGATGATCAGAGAAAGATGGAGATGGAGAGATTCGCACGACGGCTGCCACTCTTTTTATCGTTGGGCGAATTCCCACTTATTTTACAGTATGAAGCCGTCCCTTGTGCACGATACCCCTTAATTGCGTACTTAATAATGTCGCACTATCTCGCGCCTGCCCCCACCCTAATTCATATCTACTTTATTGGCGCTTCTTTTTTTCTTACTTTATTTCTGCTCGAATTGACTCCTTCGCGGTAGTCGACAAACCGTTTTACATTGCTTTTTTATTTATTTATTTATTTACATCTTTTTTGCATTTCTCTCTCTCTCTCTCTCTCTCTCTCTCTCTCTCTCTCACTCCATCTACCTCTACCTCTCTATCTCTCTTTCTCTTTGTCTCCACGCCATCCTTAACCCAAACGGCTACGTGCACTCGCACTTTTTCTCCGAATCCCGCGCTTTTTCCTTTTTCGGTTCGCAGTTCGAGATTTTGCTTCTCCTCCCCCACTTCCTTGCAACTCTATACCGCACTTTTCGTCTTGCCAACGGTCACTTTATCACTTTATTGCTGCCGTCTTCCTAACACGTTTTATCACGATTCGTTTCGCGCACCTATCTTTTATTTCCCCTACGGCATTGCTCCTCTCACGAAACTTGTTTCTCTTTATAGAGCGAGCAATTATTTCTGCAAATATGGCAATCGTATCTGCATCTTGGTCGACCCGATTCCTCAGCGTTTACAGATGGATCTTCGATTTCCAAGTTCAACATCGTCTTTCCTCTCCTTAATCGAGGCTGTAATTTCTCATTTCTGTTCGATTTCTATAATTTATAATTTTTAAGTATTATGTACAAAAAGTGTAGGTACATATCAAAGAAATGATCTACGACCAAATATAATTGCAATATTGGAAAAATATAGTTTATTAATATAGTATTACACAAGTATAATTGGTATTGTTTAATTACCGATCGGAACACGGATCCGGGACAATAAATGACGTAATCCATGATGTTTTCACATATTTGAAATAGTACGGGAAGTATTCATCACAATGATAATATGTGCCTGTAATATGTGCAGGATTAATTCGTATCAATTTTCTTTTTATTAATCATTATAGAAGTTAATTTGTGTAATTATTGCACATTTACCTTTCTGTTTAGCTAATAAGATAAAAGCTCATTTATATTTTGAAGCATGTAAGAAATGATATAATTATTACTTAATGTTTATGTTTGTAACGAAGAACAACAATTTATTGTTACAAATACATTTAGTGTTACAAATTATTTCATGAAAATATTCATTTATAAGATGTACAATATACGTAATTACACGTATGTTCAATTGTTATACCCATATAATAAGGTAATATCTTATGTTACTTTAAATTAATAGTAACAATTTAAATATTACACAATACTATACTTTGTTAAAAATTCTATATAAATTCTATGAGTTGACTATGAGTTAAATATTTATTTAATGTACTATTAAAAATTATATTGCATTTTATGGAATTATGGGATTTTTTTTTCTTTTTCAGATATATAGACTTCAATCTGAGTTTTGTTGTTTTTAAAAATTAACGCCGAGAGAACAGTTAACTCGGAACAAAGCTAATCAATCAAAGGTATTGAGAAAAAAAGTAAATGTTGTAAGTACACTTTATATTGCGTTAAGCAGGTATTGAGAAAAAAAGTAAATGTTGTAAGTACACTTTATATTAGGAAATATCAGCAAGATATTGTATATTTTATCAACAAAATTATATTAGGTAAAATACATATTATATTTAATTCGAAATATAATGTTATAAATTCTATTTAAAAATATACCTTTCTTTTTCCTTTTTATAATATTAGTCCAGATTTGCGAAATTCGCTCGATAAAGTTAATTTAAATACACTTATTGTAAATTAGCTATTTAAACGATTGAAACTCATTCACAGAGACGTTGACATACAAATCGCTTGATTTTTTGTACTAAATGCCAATTCTGCGCTTCCCAATAATGTCTTCGAATTTTGATCAATAAAATTATTGACGTTAAAGAGATCTCATCGCATCATCATCAATACTTATAACTTATGTTAAATCTTTTGCTTTTATAACTATATTTACACTTAACGTGGTTATCTTTATAGCTTGACGCGATCTTTTAGCACTGCTCATTTTTATGGAATAGATCGTTGTATTCTTTGTCTCTCATTCTCTCTCCCTTCTGCAGCGCCGTTTTTATATTAGTCATACGAAAGCCTATTTTCTTTATGTATGTCCTACCTCATTTTCCTTTTATCGTTTTAATCGTAGGCCTCCGTTGCCGTGCGTATCGTTTAACCTTTCGCTCGGCATAAATCTTTTTATATTAAACGTTTATTTCTTTTAAATGATACGTATGTGTTATAAACACGTGCGCACAATTTACTTATACACGTGCGCCTCGGTTCTTTTCGATTAGCCTACGTCGGACGTCGAGAATGAAAGGAAAATTTACGAGTAATTAAAAATTAAGTGACTCTATCCTTACCCTTTGGCCAATAAAATAGTTCTCGTTTATTTTAACATTTTTATTCAAGCATTATTAAATTGAAACTGATATAGAGTGTCTATTTTGAACATTTCGTGAAAAATAAAGAATATCATTAACATGTCTCAAAAGAAAGCTCTTACTTCTTTTTTATAGATAATTTCAACCCTATATGCATTATCGTTAACAATTATTATTATAATGTTGTATGCGGGACACAAAAAATACTGACTACACATCTAAAATTAAAACTGCGCCTTTGAAATCTTATCCCTCCAAAACTCCAGTCGATCGTATTACTGGAATAAATAAAACATATGGCGTGCAGGTCTCAAATCTCTAATCTCGAATATCTTTCCAAAAAATTCAGAAAAAAAGCTTTCGCCCTTCAATCATGAATTTTCCACTTTGTAATCTTTGTATTGGTACGCACACATTGATTTCATTGTCTTTTCATACATTATTTTTCCTTATTATTCTTATCGTTAATTTTTTTTTCAACTATATTCATTTGATATTTGATTTAATTGCTTGCATTCACGCGTAATTTAAATGACGGATTTTTTTTTTAATTTAATTTAATTTTTTTCTTTTCTTTTGCTTTACTACATTCGAATTTATGTATATATTGTTTCATATTTTTCGATGAAACAATAATGATGCAAATTATTCGTATTTTATTTAAATATAATTTCATCAAGAAGAATTAAAATTGTATTTATTAAAGAATACTCCTTCATTATCATTTTATGCAACATAAATAGCAATGGAAGTTAGAATAAACTGGTATGAGAAGTAGGTAACGAGATTCTGATTAAAAAACACATAATTACATTTTTATTATGCTTATGCAATAATGTCACGATACAAAAAATTGATGAAAATGATATTTGTGGAAGTTGATAAAAGGTAATACATTTCTTGTTATTCGTTTTAAACATTTTAATATTTTTATTACGACAATTCAGTTATAAATATTTATCTATATTTTAGATAAATACATTTAGACAATTTTTTATTTTTAAAATGATTTATGAGTAATTGTGTAACTTGTATTGCTTACCAATATATAACAATATTCAATTTTACAAAATTAATATTTTAATATTTCTTAATTATAAATAATGATATTGTACGCTGATATTGATTAATAATTTAAATTGTTGATACATGTTTTTGATAGTACACGAAAAACAAAACATTGATATCTTTGTTACACAACGACGAAATGCGCACTCAAAGAAAAACATGCTGAATCTAAAAATAAAACCATGAAAATATCTTCGACCTAAAATATTAATTTAATTAATTATGTGTTAGTAATTTAGTAAATAATAATATATAGAGCTGAACAAATACATAGTTGCTGATTTTTATTTTTATGAGTTTTAAAAAGTTGTTTACTGATCTAAAATATATTTTAAGTTTTTAATAAATTTATAAATAAATATTTATAATTTAAATTCAACAAAATATATTTCAAATTCTGTTATAAAAGATTTTTAACAATAATGATATTTTCTCAGTGAGAATAATTTGCTCTATAAATATTTAGAAGATTGTTGTACATTCATAATTATATTGCGAATAATTATAGTTTACACTGTAATTGAATTTGTGAAATATACTTATCATTTTTTAATTTAATGAAGTTTTAAATAATATATATTAAACAATATATATATATATATATATATATATATATATATACGTACATGCATATTTATATTTACATATCTATTTATTTTTTTTAATTCATTTTAATTTCTATCATATGTCACGGCAAACATTTATGTTAAATTTATCCATAAAAATTATTATTATTATAAATTTCTAATTTAAAATATTATAAAAAATTTATTGAATATTTCACATATAGTAATATACTGAAATTGTCGGTACATTGATTTTTATTTTATTATATATTACAATATAATTTTTAAATAATTTTATAATTAAGTTTCAGTTAATAATTAATACAAATTCATTTTTTGCTACTGCAAAGTTATGTGAAAATTATATTACAAATATAAAATACAGAAATTAAAATAATTTAGAATAACATTATTTTATTTTATACATTATAATATTATTTCAAATGGTTTTTCAAAAAAAAATTGATTTGCATAATTT